CAACAACAACAACAACCAGGGCAGCTTGTGCCTTAGTTAAAATGCATCATTATAAGACACAAACCATTCTTCTTGGGTCCTCTCCAAATAACAGCATCATCAGGACTGCTGAGCAAGAAGCCCACTGACATCACACCTAGGTTTTCTTCAACGTACTAAAAGACAAACAGGCACAGGTCAGGCAGAACGAGAGGAGGAGTACAAAATCGTAAGTGATTATGCATGACGCCACAGTGGCCTCACAACTTCTAGGGTTTGAAATTAAATCTATTGCAGAGAGATACATGTTCTTACACTGCGCCCAATTTAAGATCCCAGCTGGGTCAGGCCAAACGTCTGTCTAGTCCAGCAAACTTTTCGCACAGGCAAACCGCACGCAGGAGCAGAGCACAACGGCCAGCAGCACACCACCCTCCCCATTCGTGCACTCACTAAACTTTCCTGAAGAACCTAGAACTTCCTGGACAGCTGCGTGGCTCATCCTTGGGTCCACCGGCCTGGGTGTTCGGCTGTAGATTCTGACCCCTCTGCCGAGTCAGGATCTGCCTCCAAGACCCTCTTTGATGGGTCTTGGGGCTCAGTCTCTGCCTTGTCCATCACTCCTTAATTCAGGAATAAAATCCCCAATCCCACAAAATGTTGTGTGACCAAGTCCTCCCCTTCATCTGCCTTGGATCCTTGGATCTTCGTGGAATTACCCCGCCAGGTTCCAGTGTTCTGGGAGAGGGAACAAAGCGTCTCCCTGCCCACTCTCGCTACACGATGCAAACTCCTACACTTTTTCCATGGCTCTCGTGCCTCTTTCCCAAGCTAATTCTACAAGTTGCAACTGTTCCTCATATAGGAAACTGTTCTAGCAACCCAAGCATTTTAGCCATCCTTCTGTGCGTTTTTCCCAGCTCCACAACATCTTTTTTTGTATGGTGACCAGAATGTTCTAAGTGTGGTTGCACCATGGATTTGTGTAAGGGGAGTGTGATCTTGGCCATTTTATTTTGACTTATTTTCCTGACACCCAGTAGGGAATGCAGAATAACTCAGCATCAGATACATTTTAATACAGGTGAAGCTCTGTGCTTTGGTAAGACTGCAGGGACTAGATTTCCCCTCTGGAAAGCATAACTGCCTCCATGAAACAGGAAGGGGACACACACAAAGATGTGTTGAAATGGACAACTTACCACTGGTGACCAGCCAGAACCACTTCGATGAACCTGAAAAGTCGAACGTTTCAGAAAGTTGAAGTCCATGTAGAAGCAAACAGATTGCAGTTACCTAGTAGCATCACAATCTTCTGCTTTTGCCTTCAGTTTGTGATACTGTGACATTTTTTTTTTACAGAACACTACTGAAATAAGACATGTGATCATACATGTATAATAGACCTGACAAATGACAATAAACCCAGGCGGTTACACAACTTTGCCATAACAGGGAAGAGGAATGATCACAATCAATTCCAGTGAGACAAACACAAATCCTTTTTCCTTCAAGCATTAACAGCATTCTCTCATTTTAGCAGGAGCTGCTTTATCTAGGATTCAGCAATCTTTCTTGAACTTCTGTTAACTGTTTCCCCACATGTTTTGCTTTTAGTGCTTTACAGGAACTTATAAAGCACATCTTAATTAAGCGCATCTCAGGCTTAGCACCAAGCAATGGTCACTTTGCACCAGCTGAGCAATACTAACAGAAACACGGAGGCAAAGCTGGAAGACGTCTCCACATTTCCTCAGCTGAAGCGTCTCACTTTTACGGACCAACAGCATTTCGAGTCCTACAAAGGAAATACCCAGTTGGGCAGTATCACAAAGTGTTACCCCCACAGCTATGAAGCCATACCTGCTCCCCTTCTATGCCCAAGATTTTCGGGATGGAGGGACCACAGATGTCAATGTCCAGCACAGCCACCTGGGGACAGCAAAAAAGAAAGCGGCTGCAACAAAGGCAACCCGGAACACAATTTTCCCACACAGTGGGAAAAGCATACTATGCCCGCCTGCCCTCTTCCAGGACTACTGTTCCATCCCCCACAGGATTTTCGTGTTTTCTCATGCATGGATGGTACTGTTTTGGCCATATACAGGTCTTCACTTGAACGAAGAGTTCTTCACTGATAAATGGTGTACCTATAGTTGTTAGTGGTAACAGTTGAATTCAAGCTGCCTTGAATTTCATAGAGACGCAAGGAAGAGACGCAAGGAAGAACTACTGAAAAAGGGAATTGTACCACTGCGGTCCAGAAGAATTAGGAAATGATTAACTGTTCGTTATAAACTCCCGTTTCAAAGCAATGTCACCAAGCTCAGTATTTTAGCGGTTACTTTACTTCAAAGCATCTACTGCAGCGACATAAACTGTTGGGGAGGGGCTAGCTGAGCACCCCTTCTTCACCACAGGTTGCAGTGGAATGATATGGGCTTAAAAGTGGCATGGAAAACACACCCACCTGCTTGGTTTCCTCTTCTGCTAAGCCATGGGCCAGGTGAGCGCTGAACGTGCTCTTGCCCACACCACCTTTCCCAGACAACACCAGGAGCTTGTGCTTTACGGTTTTCATTTTTTCCTTGATCTCCTCAACAGCTTCACAGAGGAGAACGTAAATCACACAGTTTGCACAGGACAGAGGCTGCAACGAAAAACCCCTTTCCCCAGACCGTGCGGGGCCAACTCCCAGTCCAGGCTGTGGGTGTGCCCCTCGGCTCTCTAATTCTGCAGCACCCACAGCAGAGCTGCCAACTTTTCTTCCAGTGGGGCTCCATCTCCCCCCCCCCCCAGCCCAGCCATAAGGCAAGGCTCGCATCGCCGAGGACTGCAGTTCCCAACTAGGGCACCCGGGCCCTTCCCGCAGCCAACCCCTACCGGAGAGCACCCGCCCCACTCCAGGGGAGAGCCTACTTGGGGGGCACCCACCGCGAGACCACCCCCTCCCGAGCAGCCGGGTCTGCCCCCATCCCACCCTCGAGCGCCTCTCCCAGGGCGGCGGGCAGGCCCCGACCCTGGGGTCGCCCCCCCGCCCCACCGCCGAGTCCCCGCGAAGGGCCCCGCCGGGGGACGCCCCTCGCCCCCCGCAGCAGCAGCGCCCGCGGCGGCCTCACCTGGGTCGGGGCCGGCGAGGCGCCCCGAGGCGCACACGGCCCGGTTGGGGCATCCCTGGCAAGCGTCGGCCTGGCCCGCCTGGTCGCTGCCGACGCCGGGGCACTCTGGGCGGGCGAGAAAGCGAGAGGGGCGCGTTAGCGGCGCGTCAGCGGCGGGCGGCGCGGGGGGCCGGGGCCGGGGCCTTACCGTGGGGCGGCGCGTCCAGCAGGGGCGGCCCGCTCGCCGCCGTCGCCATGGCGCGGCAGGCGCGGAGGGGCCGGGCGTGCGCCGCGAAAAGGCCTCCCGCGGCGGAACCCCGGCGCTGCTTCCGGCGGAAGCGGAACACAAGCCCCCCACCGCTCGTCCGGTGACGCACTTCCGCCAATGGCCGTGCGCGGCGGATGCGCGGCGCGTTCCGAGTGCGCACGCGCACTCCGGAGAAGTGGGTGGAGCGAGCCTCGCCGCGGCACGTGACGCGGCTCGCGCTCGTGACTGGTCCGGGCAGGGCTCGGTTTCGTTTTCGGAAGGAATTGACGACACGCCTCCTCTGCCGACACACGCGTCTCTTGACACGAGACTTCCATTCACACGTGCGGGAGAGAAACGTGACTCTTGGGAAGGCCCTTTTCCCGCGAACCTTCGGGAGGGAAAACTCTTGTGTCACATATGCATGTATAAAAGTCCTCTGTGCCGAAGAAGCGCGCGGAAGACGCTGGAGCGCGCAGAGCCGGGGTCGCTCCCCGCAATCAGGCCTACAGTCTGGGGCATGCTGGGGCCGTGGGCTTTCTTCTTATCGAAGCATGCAAGGTCGAAAAATAAGAGCGCGTCCGACACAATTTAAACAGGAAGACTAGTCCTGCAACGCTCAGGTTTCCTGGGGCATGCTGGGAATTGTAGGCCTTTTCTTCCTTCTGAGCATTCTAATTTCTTTGCTAAGAAATTAGAAATTCCCGCTCAACTGGTTGCGGAGGATTGCGCCAAAGGGCGGCAGGCGATGCAGCTGGGCTTGTTCGCGCAGGATCTAGAGCAGTTGTTGAGCGGATGGCCACTTCCTCCGAATGGGCCGGCAGAGGCAGTGCCGCTTGCTCATTCGACCTGTCAGATAGCTTTTATATCCTGCTGCCCGTGTTTAGCAACATCTCTAAGCTGTCTAGGAGAAAATGAACAGCACTGAAACGCATGGCCAGATCCACGCAGAAATGATTAAAATGCTTAATATGAAAGAAATCGCACAACACGTACGATTAACACAACACACACATTAAAACCAGTTTGGAAACCACAAAGTACACTGGTTGGGTGGCACACTCGGGGAGAGCCAAGGCAAAGAAGACATGCCTAAAATCGGCATTTCCGGATCTTTCTCCCCAAATTATAGGGCAGGCTAGGGTGCAGTCTTGCACAAGGTTAGACAGGAAAAGCGATCCACAGCTCCCGGCACGCCCTCCGGGGCACGTTGCGGGTTGCCTGACCTCATGCGGGATTGCACTGGAGAGGCTGCGGGCTGCGGGCACGCTCCAACGGCGGGGCTGCTTCTTCCAGTTGCGCCGGCTCAGGAAATATTTTAACTTGCGGGGGGTTGTTTGGGTTCGTCAGCCACGCTTCCAGGCACGGTGTGACCTCGCTGGTGGCAAGCGCCCGCCCTTGCTCCCGGCTGGGCCGGCTGTTTCTCTCTGAGTGTCCGCACACAGACCCCTGTCCCCCCGCGGCGCTCCCCCAGAAACTGGCTGGAGGAGTGAGCCCGGCAGGACCCCCTTCCTGGGGTCCTGGCACCCTGGGCATCTTCTGTGACACCATCAGCATCACAGTGCCCGGGCCAGCAGCTGCGACGGGGGCCAGGGGAGACTGCCGTGGGGCTGCTCACCTGGGCTGCTCACCTGGGCTGACCTACAGGGACGGCTGGCGACGGCTTGCTGCTCCCGATGGAGTTCCTCGGCACCACGCAGACGGCCGCCTACTGCGGGCCCCGGAAGAGCTGCCTGCTCCCGGAGGTGGCGCCCACCAGCCTGAGCCAGGACAGCTACCAGTCCTATTACCTGCCGGGGTACCGCTACCTGAACTCCTGGAGACCCAGCTTGTTCTACAAGGTCTCCTCCTTCCGCCCCAAGGACGAGGGGGTGGGGCGCCTGAGCGCCCCGCTGCGCCCCGTCCCCATCCTGCCCTCGGTGAGGGCGGCCCTGTACGCACGCTACAGCCCCCACGACTGGCACAAGGCAAACGCCGCGCAGATCAAGGGCTCAGAGGCGTACCGCCACTGGGGGGGCCGGCTGAACGCCGACTCGCTGCGGCTGATGCAGGACAAGGAGCAGGAGACGCGGCAGCAGCAGGAGGAATCCAGGAAGAGCCTCGGGCAGCGGCTGGCCGACATCGATTTCTGGAGGTCCGAGCTGGCCTACGAGCTCGAGCGGCTCCTGACGGACACCCGTGCGCTCGACACGACCAAGCGGCGCCTGGAGTGTGCTGCGGACGAAGCCCAGGGGCCGCTGCAGGTGGGCTCGGCTCGGCTTGGCCCGGGCGGCACCTTCTCGTTCTTTTGGTGGACGGTGCGCCTGGCCCCCCTCTGAGCTGTCCTGGGATGCGGGGAGCGGGTTGCCCCGCTGCCCTCCTCCCCAGCCGTTTCCACCAAGGAGAGCTGGTGCCATTTCAAAACACCCCGGACCGAAACCCACATTCTAGTATCCTCAGAATTCCAGGCAGCTCGTCTGGAAGCCTATGGAGCATTATTTATGACTTATTTCTTTTATCCCGATACTTGGTATACTTTGCATACAAGTATGATCATGGTGGCAAGCCGAAATCCGGTCGTGGGACCCAGACTGCAGAGTGAGCTTCCCAGGGAGGTCTGTCTGGTTCTGCAAATACTCATTTTCCCAGGAACTTTCCTAGGAATTTCAGTTTCATATCGCTTTAAATTCAGTACTGCACTTTAAATCTTTGCACAACTGCTAGATTTTTAGTTCAGTATTTGCCTTTCTTTTATACAGCAATCTTAAAAATGGTTCTCTTGTATTTTATATTGTGTGCTTCTTTTAAATTGTTGTGACCCAGCCAGAGAACTTTGGCTATTGGGCCGTATAGAAATGTAATATACAGGCGAATTAATCAATCACTCCCTTAAGTGCCAAAAGAAAGAGTACTGGATACTGTTGGCAAAAAGTTGGAGGGGGAATGGAGCCACTGGGGGAATCAACAGTCCAGCTTTGCTGCGAGTCGGAGATGGGCCGTGAGGTGGCATGCTAGCTTCCCTCTTCAAATCAGCAGCGATTCATGCAGTTCGTTGGAAAAGAGCCAGCACAGGAATTCTTTTGTCTCCTCCAAGTTCATGACTTAGCACCATCTGCTGCGATTACCGGGGAAAGCCTTGCAGTCTCCCGAAACTTGATCAATGCATCTTTCTCCCTGCAAGGCCGGTGTGGCCGGGCCCTGGATGTGCGTAACTGGGGGCCAGGTGGGAAGGCCAGGCTCCCCCTCGAGTGGTGGCAGGGCAGCCTGCCCTCCCCATGCCGTGGATGGAATGCTGGAGTCCCAGTGAATAGGGTGAGCAGCGGGGCCTTAGGCAAGAAAAGGGGAGCTTCGGAGGGGACGTATTAAGTTGGGGAGGAAAGATGGAGCAACAGTAAAACTCCTAAATACATACTGGACTTGTTTGACCTTGGATGCGGAGATCCACCGAGAGTAAATGCCAGAACGGGAGCGAAATGTAGTCTGCTTCATACTCACAAGGAACTGCAATGTGCATTTCAACACGAGAAGGAGGGTTCTGCTGCATCAGGCCAAACGCCCCTCTGGTCCAGTTCTCGGCCTACGATGGCAGCCGCCTGGATGACACCAAAGCTCCTTCCCTGCATCCAGAAGCCACCCAGAGGGTTCAGGTTTGGAACCCTGAATCACCACCCCACTTGGGAGAAGGTCTGTATCACTCACTCCATCCCTATCCACGGACTTGAGGATATGACTCTCCCCTCATCGTCGTCAGTCTCCGTAGGTTCTCCTGCTCCACAGACGTGAGTGTGAGGCTTTGGAATCAGCCAAAGCCCCTTTGCAGGTAGCTTGTCCGGGAGGTGAAGAACCACTGGGAGGTGCGTTTCTGCCGGGTTCCGTAAGGCTTCAGAGGGCTCCGGCTCTTTGCTGAGACAACATCTTTCTATAGCTCTAACAGTAGTGTACAATAGCAGCTCTCTGGGGTGCTGACTGCTGTTCCTTGGAGCCTGCTGTGACTGTGCCGGTAGCTTGCCTTGCTCGTCCTGACCGAATCGGACGGTCTTCAAACTGCCTCCGCTCAACTTAGGCAGCTGCTTCCCTCGTGGGATCCAAGCTCCCAGTGAAATCTGTACCATAAAAACTTAAAGCTAAAAACACACTTGCACACATATTTTCAAAGTACATTCTTCCCAAATATGCACTTTCTCTCAAAATACTAATTTAAAAATGGATCGTTCCCTTCTTTTGGACCCAAGAACTGTATAAGGACAGTAAGCGTGAACTTCACAGATAACTTAGCATTGACTTGCTGTGTCTTTGTCTCGGATGCGCAGTCGGTGGATTTCCTGAATATGGAATTCCTCAAAGGTCCCTCGGCTGCCCTAGACGGGACAGAACCTGCCCAGAGCTGCCATCTGTTTGACGGAAAATGCCCCCTCACTTCAATCCCTGGGTCATAGCAACAAATAGCCTGCAATTGTATTTATTTATTAATCCCCCCCACCCCCCCTTAGCCAGAATGACTCTCTGCACGGCTATGCATTCATCTCGCTCGGTAATATGTTATCAACCAGTCCCAGGTCTGTCTGAAACCATTTTCTTGCACTTACACCAAGTGAGAGAACAACTCCCTCCCTTGTTTTTGAAAACCCACCACTTGATGCAAATTTTTCACTGGCCTGCAGGTAGCCCTGGAATGTCTGTACAACCGCGAGAAACGGATGGGGATCGACTTAGTCCATGACGATGTGGAGAAGAACCTCATACAGGTAGCGGGCTTCCTGGCCTTGCGAAGGGTTCAGGGCCCCAAATCCCATGCGGAAATCCCATGGACAGCCAGTGTGGCGCAGTGGTGAAGAGCGTGGGGCTGGGACTCGGGCGATCCGGGTTCGAGTCCCCGCTCGGCCATGGAGCCCACTGGGGGGCTTTGGGCCAGTCACGGACGCTCAGCCCAGCCTGCCTCACAGGGTTGTTGTTGTGGGGATGAGATGGAGGAGGAGGAGGATGTAAGCTGCCTTGAGCCCTTTGTAGGAAAAAGGCAGGATATCAATCGCAATATAAATAAATAAATAAATGTGTGTCGAGGCCTTAAGAACACCTGCGGTGCCCAGAGTTCCCCAGCTGTAGGACTTTTCCGAATAACACGCATAGGATTGCGCCCTTAAAAGGTTTCTTCCTTTTTCATCCTGAAGGGTACTTAAATCCGATCAGTGTTGTGCTTGCTTATGAAGAAGTGGCCGGAAGAGCCCATAAACGGCCGAGCGGGAGGCATAATGCATGGGCAGTGTGGACAGGCCCCAGGCACCGCAGGGTCTTGTCGCGGCTTAACGGCGGCACATGACTCTCCTGTGAGAGTTCAGGGGCAGGTCCCGTCCACCAACGCTTCTGCCAGGGTAACTTTGCGCCCTGCTGTTTGTGCAGCTGCAGAGAAGCCGGAAATCCTGCAACGGATGGACAGACGGCATTTCGCTCCCAGTTTGGTAGGATTACTGACAGGTGTGCCTGCTCTTTTGCAGGAGGTGGATTTGATCAAAGCCTGCCAAGAGAAAATGAGACAATTTGCAGAGAGGATAGAACATCAAATCAAGTAAGTGTTAAAAAATGCAATGCCGGGTTTAGAGGCGTTGAGTCTGTCCCTGTGACGGAGCAGGTACCGTGAAAGCTCCTCGGACTCTCCGCGGAGAAGTCTCCTCCGAGAAGTTGCCCTCCCTGGAACGGCGGCCAGAGAATAACAGCACGTTGACCTGACTTGGTCTCCGGCCACCTGGAATGTACCCAAAATATATAACATTACCCAGGAAATCACACCCAACCCGCCAAGGCAGGAATGGAAAAGTCTGCAACGGCCAGAAAACCCCCATTGTTGGTCCTAGTGGGCGTTGGGAGGTTGTTTCGGGGACAGGGCTGCCTGGACTGTACTAGCAGGCAGAAGTTCAACAGGTGAAGTCGTGCCAGGCCGTGCCAGGAGGGGGAACTCTTCCTGTACTTATTCACTTTTCAGCTAGGACTAGGCCAAGCGAGACACTGCCCGTGTGCCAGCGTCCACAGAGCGTGCGCTTGTTCTCCTGCCGAGCGGAGTGGGAGGCCCACGGGAGCGCTGCCAAGCCGGCCGCCTCGCGAGACGCTTCGGGCTTGTTCTGGAGATGTTTTGTTCGCGCCGCACGGCTCTAGGCCAAAATTCGCCACTTGTGCTCGGGGTTTGCAAACGGGGAAAGTACGTTTTTCAGGCTCTGGTTGCTGCTGTCCTTTAACATGCAGGAAGAGCACCGCAAAACTGTAAAGACGCCGGCGTCACAGAAACCCTTGTTCTTTGCAGCATAAACAGAGATGCGCAGCACGCCCTGGAGCGGGATCTCGGTGACAAAAACTCAGCCCATTTCATTGACGAGAAGTGCTATAACCTGAGGAACACGTTGGACAGCATCAACTACTACCACGGAGTAGAAAAAATTGATGGAACGTAAGAGCAGTAATCTGTTTGTATTGCAAGTAATGCCATACATGGGGACTCAGAACAAGCCCAGACACGAAACCTCAGGAAGTCGGGCCAGTTCTCCAGGGTAAACCTCCAGGCCTTTCAAAGAAACGCACCTCAGAGCCGCAGAACTTCCGCAGGATTAACTCCTTGAAAATCCCCTGCGGAGCCAAATATTGGAAAACAGTCTGCAATGCTTTCCCCGCTGCCGTTCAGGAGAGGGGCCAACCACCGAGAAGGCCCCGTCCCTTGCTGCCCCTCCTAAGCCGACCTTCGAGGAGGATGGGTGCAGTCTGGGATTGGCCCTGCTCCAGCCTGGCAGCACGGACAGCTCAGGAATGCTATGAATCTCTGGAAGGCTGTAAATGTACCTTGCCTGGAGTCTGAGCACAACATGTGAACAATCCTCGAACAAAGTATTTATGGAATCTTTTTAAAATATGGCTGTTTGTCAAGATTAAATAATTACATTATGATGCATGTAATTCAAACAGAGGAAAGGTTAAGTGCTCGAGGTGAAGGGTGACAGAGGGCCAAGACTAACTTCACCAGAACTTGGGGGCTTTGGCCATTTAGTTCTCACCCCTTGCAGAGTTTCGGTCCCTGAGACATGGGCGAAGTTTAGCGACAGCAACATTCGCTACTCGCAGAACGCGCGGGCCAACACGGCCGCCCTCTGCTCCGAGGCGGACCACACGCTGGAGATCACGTCCGACGACATGTGGCGGCAGTGGACCAACACCAACCTGGCTTTTGACGCGCGCATCTCCGAAATCGCCGATGCGAAGAACCAGCTGCAAGCACAGCTGGCCAAGGTGGGCTGCCGGTTCCTTGAAAGCCGGGGGGGGGGGGGGAGACCCCAGGGAGAGGTGCGTGCCTTGGCCGAGACCCCAGGCTCCCGATCTGCCAGATGGTCAGAGGGGCCCCTGGGGGTGTGGGTTCCCACACCCCTTTTTCCTAATTCTCTGTGAGTCTTTTTCAAGCTGGAGAGGTAAGTGCAGTGGTCAGGATGACCTGAAATCCGCGTGTATTCCGGCTCCCAGCCAAGGTTGGAAGACAGTTGAATGTTTGCTTTCTGACGGCGTTCGTTCACAGAGAGGTCCAAATAATGTTGGGTTTCGGGGCCTAACGAGGAAGAGGCTGCTGGCTGCCTCGGTCGGTTGCTTCGCCAGGGCACGACCCGGCGGGTGTTCTCCAGGCGGCCCACCAGCCCCCGGCGCTGCAGGGGGTGCCTCCGCGAGCCAGAGCGAGGCCGACGCGGTGGGGAATGGCCCTTCCCCACCTCGCGGCACCCTGCGGAGGCAGCGGGTTGCGCGAGTGCCCGGGCCCTCCTTTCCAAGAGTTTTCCTTTTGGCCTGTTCCTCGGGAGGCCGGGGACCCCTCTCAGGGAGCCCCTTCTGCCTGATCCCCCCAGCGGCTCTTGCTCCCTGTCTTCTTTCCCATCACGGCAGCCTCTTGCCCCACGCGGGGCAAAGGCGCTGGGCAAGCAGGCAGGGCGTCCCTCGGCCTCCGCCGCCCTGCGGGCGCCTCCAAGGTGAGGGGCAGCCAACAGGGCACTGCCCAGGTGCAGGGGAGGAGCGACGCCCCCGCCCTTCCCGCGGGCCCCTGCGGGGCTGTGTCCCGCTGCCCAGTGCCCAGTCGGGCCTCCCTTGACGCCTCCCTGCTCAGAGCCCTCCTCCGGGGCGCCAGCCGCCGCGGATTCACAGGGCGCTGCACCCTCAGCACAGAGGAAGCTTGTCGAGGGGTCCACCAGCCGCGTCCAGCCACGTGGCACCCGTGCGCTGCGCTCCTTCACTGTGGGGAGACACCCTGCGCACCTCGCCACGTGAATCCCGAGGACACCGCTAGGAGCAACACGGAGGGAGGTGGCGCTGCCTTGCTTGGGTGGATGGCGGCCAAGGATCCGTGCGGACTTTCGGCAACACGAGGGCGGGGCGTGATGCCGGATGCTGCTGGCCGCTCCTCCCGGAGCGCGGAGCCTTCCCTTCGGATGCAGAGGGGCTGCAGGGCATCCTTCCCCCCGGCCTGTGACCGAGGACTCAAAGGACCCTGGTGAAAGCCGGCGGCCCGTCTTGAGCTAACGGCTGCCGCCGCCCCGTCTCTGTGCCTTCCAGACGCTCCAGGAGATCTTCCAGACGGAGAACACCATCATGCTGCTCGAGCGAGCCATCCTGGCCAAGGAGTGCCCGCTCAAGCTGGCGCAGACCCGGCTCGAGGCGAGAACCTGGCGCCCCAACATGGAGCTGTGCCGCGACGTGCCGCAGTTCAAGTGCGTGGGCCCCCCCCCCGCCCCCCAAGTGCCGCTGTGGGTGCAGAGCCGCACACAAGGGCCAGGCGCTGTTTCAGAGAGGCGGGGGGGAGGGGGCAGAGGAGGGACAAATGCCTTTGAGGGCGGCGTGCGCTCTGCCCACCTGTTAGATGGGGGACGCCCCGCAGCGGCTGCGGGGAGCCGGCGCACAGTCAGTGGGGAGGGGAAAGGAAGAGGGCACGGGGAATCCCCCGGCCGGAGGTCCCACAGCCTGTGAGCCCCATGGCGGAGGGGGACGAGAACTCCTGGCCCCCCGAGCCCCAGTCCCGTGCTCTTATTCACGACCCGCTCTGGCTCTCAAGGGTGAGACGCACCCATGCTTGCTCGAGGCTCTGCGCCCAGCAGCGGGGGGGTGCCCAGTTACAGCCCTGGAGCGCTGGTCCTGCGGGCAAGATCCAGGCGGGCGCTTTGCTGGGAAGAGCGCTGAGCTCCGGCCGCCCCGCCTGCCGCCCCGTTAGGCGCTACCCCGTCGGAGGGCCTTTGCTGCTGTGCCGGGGGGCAGCCGGTTCCTGGACCCGCCTTTTCGTTCATCCGCTCTTGCTCTCTCCTGAGTCCTTCGGACTTTACGCTTCCACGTAGCAGCCAGCAGAATCGCTCGCTCGTTCTTTTCTTCCATGTCATCACGGTATCATTCTGCAGAAATGGCCGTGAATCGTGTGGTCCCGGCAATGAGCCGTAAAGCCGTAAAACTAATGGCCACCTTCCTGGGGCTGCGATGCCCCGCGTGGTGTTATCCTGGTGTTATCTCGGCAGTCGCGGCCTTAGATCGGGCCATTAAAAGGGCTAATGCGTTTCCTTGTGTGTTTTATTCCCACGTCCTTTGAGGACCGATTCAGTGGGGCAGGCGTGAGATGCCCATTGCGTAAGGAAGACAAATATGGATCAGGTCAGGGCTCGACGATAATGCAGCCGGAGGAAGGAAGTGCTCTTGAAGTGTTATTACAGGCCGGATGGCGCACGTATGATCAGAAATGGCTGCTGCTCCGTTCAAGCCACGCTCCCGGGCGGGGGCCGCGTCTCTAACCCGGGCAGCTGAGGTAGCTGGAAGGAGAGGTGCGGCTTTTTACTCTCCGAGGTGTCCGCTGCGGTATTCCTGGAGTGGGTGTTTCTGACCCGCAGGTGCAGCTGCGTCCTCCGATCCGCCTCCTGTTGGGGGTGAGGCGGCTCCCCACCCTATTTGCCTACTGAGGCTGTTTGCATGAGTTTCCGTGCCAGTCCGGTGCTCCTTCTTGCTTGCTTTTCCATGGTTGCTCAAGCTCTGCCCATCTTCTTGTGAACCCGGGTTCAAGAGGAACGGCTCTTCGAGGCATTTAGGGCAGCGAGTGCGCGGCTGGGAATGCCCCGGCCCACGGGGCGCTCGGGAGCGGGGGGCGCTCGGCACGGCTTCCCGTCGGGATTGCCCTTGGCCGGCCGGGATTGGAGGGCCTTGGCCAAGGGCCGCTGGTGGGCCCTTCCGTCGCCACCGCCCGCCTCTGCTCCTCCTCGAGGCTCTGCCGCCTTGCCTGGCCCGGGTGTCCTGCGGCCACTGGCCGGCTGCTGAGCAAGAAGCGGGACTGGGGGGATCTGTCCCCAGCGGCACCCGCTGCTCCTGTCCGCACGGCCACCGTTGCGCAGGCCGGGGTGAGTGGCAGTCGAGGCTGAAGGGGTGCGGGCCCGGGCACGGCCCCCCATGCCCGCTGCCCTCGGCACTGGCCCTGCTCGGCACGTTAGGAGCCCAGTGAAAGGGGAGAATCGGGGCCCGAGGGCCGCTTAACGGTCTTGCGTTAATCAGGGCTTCTTTCTGGAGAGGAGAGGAGAGGAGAGGGATAAAAGACGCCTTTTCATAGCTAAAGGCCACTGCGCCAGAAGGAGAGGGACTTCATGGGCCAGAGCCCAAGAAATGCAATTATCTGCTTGCCTGCATTTCTTGCTGACGGGCGCCTTTCTGGGACAACTGTTCCCCGTGCGTTGTGGGAGATCCAGGTCATTTTCCTCCAAGTATTCGAGCGAGCGAGCGATCAATCTTCTGCCTTTTCTCCTCCAAAGAGGGCAAGGCAGCCCAGAGCCCGCCGGCCGCTGGTCCGGGGTCTCTTGCTGGGCTGCGTGAGCACGTGGGGGTTTGACCCTGGCTCGTCCCGGCCGACGCTGTGACCCTTACCCCACGCTGCCTCTGAGCTACGCAGTTGCACGGCGACGAGCGCTCGCCACCCCACCGGCCCCAATCCGGGTTGCCGGGGGAAATGCACTTCCCCGTCCCTGCCTGGGCCCTGTGGTTGGGACGGTGTGACCCTGTTGGCATCGCAGGTGCCCGTGGGCGAGGAGCAGGGCCGGCTGCCGCCCACCCACTGGCTGACCTCCGTGCCACGCGGTGGCTCGTTCGAGGGAGCGCCGAGAGCTGCGTTGGCGGCCCCCCCCCCCCCGCTGCGCCAGACGGATGTGCCCCTCCATGGCAGCCGGGTCCCTGCCCGACGCCTGCTGCCTCGGCTCCTCTGCTTCTTTCAGCCCTCCGAGGGGCAGTGTGCCTTCCCCGCTCTCGCCGAGGAGCCCCTCTGCTTCCTTTTTGGGGATGCTGGTGGTCTGCGTAACGGCCCCCGGATTCTGCTGGCGGGTGGGGGAGACTCGGCAAGGGGTCCTCTGGAGGGAACGGTCGTCCTTGCCTTGCCGAGCGCACCTGCCTTCGCCGCGGTGGGTGGGAAGCGGATGACGTGGCCGGCAGCTATTTAGCCGGCGGCTTTGGCTCAGGATCAAAGAGGATTTGCGACAGGACGGCCTGCAGCTTCGGGTCTCTTTGGCCCTCCTCGCAGCCCAGGAGGAGCAGCCGGGAGGTCCCAGTGCCCCACGGCAGAGAGCGGCTGCCAGTCAGGCCCCAGCGGCATGTGGGTCGAACCGTGCTGCATGAAGAGGCTATGAAGGGCATGCGAGGAGGGGCAAGGGTCAAATAGGCGCGGGGGCCCAGTCCGTGTGTGTCGGAGTGGGTCCTTCTCGATGGCTTTATTCTATTTATTTAGATTTTCCACATGTGTCCCATAACAAAAGTTCTCTGGGCCTCGCTCCCTTTGCGGCACGGCACATACAATCAACAAACAGGGCAATAAAATAAAACCGGAACGAGGAGCAAGGAAATAAACCCCAGAGCCAGATCAACTGCAACGGAGAACAGAGCTAAAAAGCTGCAGAGCAAAACGGTATTCAAAACTGCAGCGATACAACATTGTTTTAAGGTCTCAGGTTGTGCTTGGCACTTTTTCTTCAAGCTAAAAAGTGACAATATCAAACTTGGGTCTTTATATGCCAGGTCGTTTGGCCCTTATAAAGGCAGGTGTGTGACTGGAGCCCTCCAGCCATTATCTCAAAGCAAGTTCGTGCAGTCACAGAATTCACAGGAACAGAGCGGGTCAGGAGGGGCCTCCCGGGCCATCTAGTCTGACCCCTGGCTCCAGCCAGCTCCGCTCATGGCGTGCCCACCACGTGCATGTCTAACCCACCATGTGCATGAATTCATTCGGTGTTTAGATCTGTGCAAACCAGGCACAGATGCTGGACTGCGAAACCGCTGGAGCTAAAACAATTAACTGGTGCAGGCTGGGGGCGGTGGGCCCCACCGGGGAGTGACCCGCATCCTGTCTCCGCTGCAGGTTGGTGAACGAGGTCTTCACCATCGACGACACGCTGCAGACCCTGAAGCTGCGCCTGCGCGAGGCCCAGGACACGCTGCAGCTGCTGATCCTGCACAAGGCCAAGCTGGAGCACGACCTGCTGGTGAAGGCCAACACCCTCTTCATCGACAAGGAGAAGTGCCTGGGCCTGCGCAAGACCTTTCCCAGCACCCCACGCCTGGTCGGCTACACCTGAGCGTGCCCGGGCCGCCTCTCCTGCTCCTGTCCGAACGGTATAAAGGATCGCAACTCATTCCTGCGCATTTATTTATTTTTAGCAACGTGAAGAAAGGAGGAGAAGAAAAGCTCAGTGGAAATAAACGTGGCAGAGACAAAATCACAGCAAGGTCGCAGCTTTTCTTGCTTACGGAAAGCGCAGGAGAGCCACAAGCTTCCGGGGGAAGGACGGGTCCCAGGGCTCAGTGTTCGCCCCGCTCACCTGCGGGAGGCTGTGGCGGCTCGGGCGAAGGCAGGGCGGCTGGGCACCTCCAGGGCAGCTTTCACAGGTGGCCTCCTCACCTGTGGGGACCAGGTGGCCTCTTCCCTCGGTCACCGTCCCCACTGCTTCCGCCTTGTTGCTTCCCCCAAAGCACGGGGAAGAGGGAGCGGCTGGGGGCTGCCTTTGGATTCGTGGCGTTCAGGGAATCCCACCTGGAAGCCCTTTGGCAGGAGAGGAGAGGGCAGGTTTCACACGGAGACTCCCGAGCCGCGACCCAGCGGGGAAGGCCCTGCCCTCGGATGCTCCCCGCGGCTTCTCCCGCAGGACGGGCCCTTGGCCTGCCGGCCCGGCGGTTCTGGGCTGCAGCAGGCGGCAAGCATGGCCGGCCCACAGAACTGAGCTGCAGATCCCCCTGAGAGCAGGGCTGTGCTTCCGGGAGGCCTTGAAAGGAGCCTGGGTTGCCGGCAGAGGAAGCTGGGGCGTCCGTTGGGGCAGCAGAGCGGGGCGGCCGATGCCGTCGGACGAGGGGGCCCTCCCAGGCCCCGTGAGCGTGGTGCCACCCAGCCCCTCCGGATGGCACCCACCATGGCTGCCGCAGAGGCAGGGCTGCGGGGGCCCCGAGGGGACCCGGGCGCCGGGGGAGCTTACCCAGGCCGGCACAGGGTGTGTGGGCCGCAAAAGCAGCTCCGTGGCCGTCGGTTGGCGGGAGCGGTGCCTTCGGCCTGCCCGGGGCCCCCGGCTGCACCGGCACGGCCTCGCCTCCTCGCAGGCGGCGGCTCCTTCCCATCGTCCAGCCACATTCCGCTTCTTCCTCAGCAGCGTGGGGTGTGAGCGGAAAACAAAGTGGCGTTTTGTTCCCCGTCCCGGACGGTGCTCGGCAAGGAGGGACCGCGCGGCCACGGGCCGTGGCGGGAGGCAGGGCAGGGCAGGGCAGGGCAGGGCAGGGCACGGGGCGGGCGGTCCAGGCTCCCTGCGTGCAGAACATTCCTGGCTGTTTGCGGAGCGGATCCCATTCATTCGGACAAAGGTTCTGGAACGTGGTGAGCGCGCATCCCGCCAGCGCACCCTGAATGCCTCGCGCCCCAGCGCCGCACTGGGGCCAGGCGAACGCAAAGCCCGGCCCACGGTCCCTGGGGACGGCCGGGCCTGTTCCCTCTGGCCGGCGGGAGCCCCCGAGTTCTCGTGGCGTGGACGCGGCACTTTCCAGCAGCAGCTCCGGCTCTTCCGGCTGGGAGCGGTGCTCCGGCCGGTGCAGGCGTGTGTGGGTGCAGAATCCCGAGGCATGAAGCCCTGTGCTCACCCGGCACACGCCGAGGCCGCACGAAAAGCCAGGGGCGCGTCTCCACTCCGAGCTGGGTCCACGGGGAAAGGGCCGTTCCTGCCCACTGGTTTTCCCCACTGGCTTCCTCGCCCCACCACCAGAACTCCGTCTGGGGCCGTGAGGGGCAGAGCGGGCTTCGCTATTGATGCGGCGTACGCCATGCACACTGCTGAATTGGGGTTCCTCATGCTGTCCCTTGGGGAGGGAGGACTGCGAAGCCCTGTCCAATCCTGCTCGGGCAGGTCTCCTCTCCGACTGGGCTGCTTGCGGCTTTGGCCTTGGGTTTCCAGGTCTTCGTTGCCCCTCGCAAGCCGCTCGGGTGCTCAGGGCAGAGTTAGGGGTAGAAATATCTGGAAAGAAGCCAGCCTCCTCGGTCTAGAGCGACAGAGGCCTCCTTCGCCTCCTGCCGGCGCTGAGGCGTGGGCCGGAAAGCGCAGGGGAGCGGCCGGTGGCGGCAGCCCCAGCCCTCACCTTCCCCACGGCTAGTTTGACAGGCACGGCGGTCTGGTGGGCGGGCGGTGCAGAGAGCGGCTTGGGGCCCTGGCCAAAGGCCTGCGCGGTGCCGCCACCCGGGGGCACGGGGCCAGGGCTGCCCTCTCCCTGCAGCCGCAAAGCGGCAGGCACCTGGGTCCGCGGCATCTCCGTGTGTCTTTGCATTCGGGTGTGAATCAGCTGCACCGTTTTCAGAACTGAGATCTTGGCTCGACACAGAGGTTTTATAACCTGCCCTTTCACCACACAACCGCTAGGTGGCACTGTAGTTCAGCAGAATGGTGCAATTGCACAAGCAGGAAAACCTGCTTTCTTTCACTTTTGGAAATGACAATTTTGCTCTAATAATATCCCTCGGGAAAGTGCTCTTAAAAAACAGAGGCAAAGCTTGGAGCATCATGGCGTTGTCTGTAGAACCCGTAAACAGCCATGAGTGAGGAATGAGGAGTGCACAATACCTGCCTCCTGCAGAACAGCTCAGTGGCGCAGCCCCGTTCCCATGACCAGCCATGGCTCACACATCCCGCTGCTGCTTGTTCGGTGCAAAGAAATTAAACAAAGAGTAATAATGCATTGTGCAAACCAGTGTGGCGAGCCAGTGTTGCCCAGTGGTTAGAGCATAGGACTGGTTCTAGTCCCCAGCTGGCCATACATTGCACTGGGTGGCTTTGGGATAATTGCTGACTCTGGGCCTAAGCTGCCTCGTAGGCTGTTGCAAAGAGAAAATGGAGCGGAGCTGGAAGGTTTTGCCGGCTGCCCTTGGCCTCTGAGAGAAGAAGCCAGGACGCGAACAGAAGAAATAGACGATACAGGCCAGGTGGGGAGGGGGGTTCTGCGGTCTCATTTGCCAACCCCGTCCGAATCTGTAGCACTCTGGATGTGGAATTGCTTTCTTGCCCTACTTCTCAAGCTCGCATGTATGTCAGGGTAGAGATTAAAACATCGCTGCAGCGAGAGAACTTGGCGTCCGCTCTGCGAGTCCAGAGCTCAAGGCAGCTTCCTAGAGGCAGGCTATAAATTCAGCAGGGTAGATTTCACTCCCGACACAGAAAAGCTCTCCCAAAGCGTTTGGCCTTCAACCAGAGCCAAATATCTGAGCTCATCTGCTCCTGGCGCGCAGAAAAAGGTGGACTGGCCTTCGGAAGGCCCGGCGGAGGGCCGGACACCTCGCCCGAAGCGCAGCCGCTCAGAGGCATCGGTCGGCTCTACCTGGGGCCGTTTGGAGGGTCCCGCACAAAGTGCCAGGCGTGGCGCCGCCCAGGCGCTCCCTCTCGCCGCCCCAACGCACAGCCCACAATTCCCGGCGGTGGTGCGACCCGCTTCCCCCCCACCCGGCCGGAGCGGGGCCTCTGGGCTCCCCCTGCGCCAGCTCGGCCGGGCCGGCCGTGGGCTTGGCCTTGCGGTGGTTTTACTCTCGTGTGGCGCGTCTGCTCCTCCTGTGCCTGGCGCTTCTGCTCTGCGCTTGACTCGTCAGCCACCCAGACAGGCTTTTGGCAGGGGCACGGGCCGCACCGGCCAACCCACCACCAAGCCCCTCGCCCGGCCGTGGCTGGCACACGGGGCCTGGGGGCGCAGGGGCCGCCTTTGCTTCTGGGGCGACCGCGCTGCACACCCCGGCCCCGGCCCCCCGTGGCGGTTGCCCACGCCAGCCGGGACAGGCTTCCTCTTTGCTGGGCCGTGTGCCGCCCCGAGGCCAGCAGGCGCCCTGTGGCCGGGATCGCGCAGAGGAAAACCGGCGCGGCGAGGCAGAGGCACGCTGCGGCGAAGGCTCCTCTCTCGCTCGCTCGCTCGCCCGCCCTGCCCTGCCCAGCCCTGCCCAGCCCTGCGGGCAGCCAGCCCCGGGAGCGTGGAGGGCCCTGTGCCCGTCCTTGGCGCCGGGGAGGAGCGGGAGCGGCTGGGGTGGGTGAGGAGGCCTGGCCAGGCCCAGGCCCTGCAAAATGTTGCTGGCGTCAACAGCCGTGCCATTTGGACAAAGCGGGCCTCTGCGTGAGGCCGCCAAATATTCGGGGAACTACGGCTTGTGGGTGGGTTGCAGCTCCGGAGAGAACAAAGGCTTTCAGTGAAGAAGCGTGTCTGTTCGGGAGGAAAGAATCCAGCCCTTCCCTGGGCCCTAAACCCAGACGAGCGCCTGGAAAAGCAAGAGAGCGGCCGTGCCCGGAAGGGCCGAGGGGCGCGTCCTGCACACAGGTGTGGCACGGGCCTTCCCCCGGCCAGGTGGGCCTGCCCCCGGCATCTCCCAGACGGAAAAAGCGGCTCTTCCCCACGCTCTGCCCCTCCCCATCTTGACGTCCCCTGCCTTCCACCGACTTCAACCCAAGAGAAAAGATGCGGGGAGATCAGCGGCATCTCGCAATCAAAGCGACGCGTTTGAGCACATGGAGGCTCCCTGGACATGCCTGCCGCCGGCTCTGCCTCGGTGTTCATGAGTGCAGGCTCAGTGCAGCGATGCGCCGGCAGCGCTTGGAGTGGCACCTCCATGCCGGGGGGCAGTCTATCTCCAGACACGAGCCGTGGACGGGGCTGCAGCCGTGCTGCCTGTGGGCTCCTGAGGCCTCGAGCCGATCAGGCTTCAGGGCTCTGCCTTGCCAGACACCGTGCAGCTGCGCGGAGCCTGCGGCTTTACCTGGCTGCTCATAAACAATGCTGCCCACACGGCAAACACGGCCAGGTGGAAGGATCGCTGGAGGCGAGCGGAGGGGAGACGCCGAGGGGAACCGCGGGGTGCCGTGGCGGCCACGATTCCCTCCCCGTCCCGTCCCGCTGCACGGTTACAATGGGGAGCCTGTCCTATCGCGGAGATCATGGCTGGCCTGCTGCCCAAGTCTCTCGACACGTCCGAACGGGTGCCACAACGGGGTCGCCCTGCTCCCGTCCACCGGCCTCCACCTCTACGAGTTGCGAGGGAAGCGAAACATTGAGCAGGGTCAGCTCTTCCTTGGCATGA